CAATTGCAAGATCACGACAATTATTTATATTATTAGGAATATCGTTTATAATTGCCATTGTATGTTTATGTTTTCTAATTGGATTTAATTCAAATTCAAATTATCATATTACCTATCTTTACAATAATTGTTCATGCAGTTAAGATATATGAATGAATTTATTAAGGATCCCGTCCCCCATCAGAAACATAATTTTTTTTATAAATAGTCGATATTGAGCTAAGCACGTCATCAGATAGCCCACAGTATTTACTATCAGGATCCAATGTTATTTGGTCCTCATCAAAGGGTTATGCAGGCTTTTAGAAAAGTTTTCTGAAAACTTTTACTGCCCGATTAAAAAGCAACTCAAAAACTACTTATAGTAAGACCAGGAAATAGAACAAACATTTCTGATCAAAATGAGATATCTCCCAGCTCTGAATAATATTCTAATCAAGAGTTATGAGAGTTTTGCTGAAAGCCCTAAAACTTACATCAGATACTTGTGCCATCATATCTCGAAAACGACTTTCACCTTAACACCATTTCGTAGCTCCCAGATTTCTCGGTAATGAAACATCGCAGAGAGCTCGGGACGGTCTTAGATTGAAGCTGACACACGTGGCTAGGGACTAATAGAGCCGGAGTTTTTTATATTTGGTCTAAATTTGTTATTAGAAAAACATCTCTACAAAAATTAATGAAACTTTTGACGCTGACCATTAATTTAAAAAGAAAAATATCCGGCTTCATTATTCTCTAGCTACATGTGTTTTCGTCAATTTAAGACCGGTCCGAGCTCTTCACAACTTTTCGTTACTGGGAAATGTTGGAGCTACGAACAGCCCAATTTTAGTCACTCTTATGGCGACATCTCACAAACCATACCCAAAGAGAGAGGGCCAAAAGACAATTTCGTGACCATACTTCACAAGATCGGCATCCCCTAAAAGTTTGGTCAAGATCGGACGGATGGGGGGCCTTAAATAAAGAAACGAGAGTACAACTGGACATTATTATTGAATGATTCTTAAACAAATTTGTTGGTTTACACCTAATGTTCTCTACTTGTATTTAACAATTCCAATATCAATAGTTACTTTTATTAATATATGTTTATTCATTTGTGTTCTAAGACGACTTTGTTTACATGCATTTGCAAATGGTACAAAATATCCAATAGGTAAACGACTAATACTTGTTATATTAACATTATTATTAGCATGTACAACACAAAGTTTGTCATGGATATTTGGTAACTATTTTTACTATTTTAATAATTAATCAAAATTTAAATTTGTTTTTATCCTATTTAGGTCCATTTTTAAGAATATCTTATACAGCATCATTGATAATTACATGGATGTTTATTATTGGTAGTGGTCTCGAAGGTGTATGGTCTATTCTATTATATCTTCTTGTTCGACGTTCGAATAAAGAACAAACGAAAAGATTAAAAAAATCGATGACAACGCCTATTACTATCACTAGAACATCTCCAACAATTAAACAAATATTAGATAAACAACAATCATTTATTAATTTACGTTTAAAACAAGATTATGCACTAACTAACGAAATATTGTTGTAACTTTAAATTTGAGTAAATAAAAAAACTTTTTACTATGAAGGTTAACAAACATAGGTTTTTAACCACTAGACTCTATAAATAAACATCCGGAAAAGCATGTTTCGACTGAATCCATGCACTCATAGTAATAAGTTCTTGTTCACTCAAATTTAAGTTGATTTTTAGCTAGCGACGAACAAAAGCCCCAATAAATCCTCGATAAAGGTATATAGTGGAATTTGTCTCGGATAAAGTATCACTACAATGTACACTCTGATAACTAAGGTCATTCACTCGAAAGAAGTATACTAAGACTGTGTTTCGATAGCTCAATGGTAGAGCATGTTCGAATCTCTGTACGCATGAGCTGTGTTTCTTTTTTTTTTCATCTCGATTTACAACTAATTATATCGCTTTTTATATCTAGCGATTCGTTTTTTTTTAACAGCTAGATGTATCTAGCTCTTATTGTTTTCTATCAACCATAATTTCTTACTAGATGCATCGGATAAAACTGATTAACCGACATTTGAGCGACCGTCATTTGAGCGATCCCGACATTTGAGCGACTGACACTTGAGCGACACCGACATTGAGCCACCCGCACCCCCACTCACCTTTACCCCACACAGCCTCACCCTCTACAGATTTCCAAATGATTCAGTTCATAATCGGACGACAAAAAGATTGTTCTCGTCATCGTTATTAATCGTTATCGAAGTGAATAATCATTCGACTTTCCTGATAGGCAAAAAGTCATATTGAACAGTGTCTAATGTCGGAGTCGCTCAAATGTCGGTCGCTCAAACGTCGGTTGACGTATAAAACTCGATGTATCTAGATAACCGGATATTTTTTACTCTTTTATCTAGATACTTTAGTTGGAGTATCGGGAGATACTCCCAGCAAGTGTATCTAGATTTTTCGCTTACGAATTCATGCGTGGGTTCTTTCCATAAAACCTCGCCGCGCTCATCTCAACTGGATGAATATTTTTTACTCTAGGATCAATGCTTCAGAACTCTTTCTCAGTGAGATTTGATCTTTAAGGTCTACTATTTCAATAAGTTTAAGCTTAAAAATTTAAGAACAGATGGATTTATTATGAAAGCTTCAGAATATGCGTAATTCGATGTATTCTCTCGATGCTGAAATTAGAGCTTGGTCGTGACTTTTAAAATTTTTTGAACTCTTTTTAACTTCTAACATTAAAACTTAAAAATTTATAAATCTCTGAAAGCATGTGTTCTAAAAATCTAAGTACTTCAGGATATATGTAACTTAATATACCCTATAAACTAGCAGAAAAGAGGCAAATTTATTTAAAGGTAGGACCTCTCCTTAAGTCATCAAAGCTTGCAGTTTACCGCGAAACCAAGTTCATGTGGTCGAATCTCTATTCATTCAAAATTGATTCTGTTTTGAAATGACGAGGCAGAAAAAAGCGGCAACGATTCATCCATCATCAAAACAAAAAAACATGCTTAAATGAACGAAATATTTTTTCCTTTTCGTTTTCATAGGTCCCTACCTATCAGAGCCCGAAACGAGGCGGGATTTTGCTTCTTCGCCTCGAAAGCTGTTGCCTTCGGTTCGCTTCGATTCTATTTTTTCCAAGGCCATCTCGTCTAGCCTCGCTTCGTGAGATGTTTGCTTTGCTTCACCTCGCCTCGCCTCGTTTTTTCTCAGAAAAAACAGATTCCAAGTATGCATCGCCAGACAGATAGTATAGGTAGTACCTATGCTATCTGTCGTGTTGCATTCAAGCTTAATAGATGATAAGAAAAAAATAAATGATACTGTCAATATTGTTTCAAACTTAGAAGATGAAGTCAATCTGCATACAATTTTGTGTTTCTTTTGTTGTGGAAGATGGCTCAACATAATTCTGCAGAAAAGTGTTTCGAACAAAAATTAAACGATCCAAATGTTATCTTGCTGGTCCGATCTGCAGATCTGGTCTCGAAAAAGAGGGCGATGAAGTCCTGCAGCAGCGGATCTGGCAACTGCAAAACACTTCTCTCTCAAGTACCACGCTGGTTGAACTCGTTGGGGAATCACCGGCAGTAAGGCGCAACGACGGTGAGCGCACGCTATTCGTTCTCAAAGGGGCTGTACAGTTTCAGCTGAGTACATATCACGTGTTACTGACCGAAGGCGACTATATAGCAATTCCTGTCGGACAATGTTATCAAATGAAACGCTCAAGTGCTGATAAAGCATATTGTTGGGATTTTATGTTCCGCAGATCGATTTGCACAAAGCCGAGATCGCTGATCTCGGAGATTCAACAAGCAGGGTAGAGTCGATGGTTTTTAAGCAGAAAGACGTGATGACCCGTCAACCTACGGTTGAAACTCAGAGCTACCGCTTGTGAACTTTGATCAGGATACAAGACAAACGCATCAACCTGGTGGAATGGGTTTCCGATCTGAGAAACCATATGCATCCTGACGCCGATCATCCCCTGCTCCTGCTCAGCGGACGTGGACGGGTTTTAACCCCATATGAAGACCGCATCATGAAGGCGGGTGATTACTTGTCTATACCGCGTAACGTACCACACAAGTACTTCGTTGAAGGTGATCAACCGGTTTTAGTCCTGACCTGCGCAGCACCGGCCTATGACGAGATCAAAACGATCTTTCTGAGCGTACTTGTTTTTGAGCACTTGTAAGCGCAGACAGGCTCCCGATTGAGAGAAATTTGACTCGAGTCGACGTTGAAACTTCGACGAGTCTATATGATCTAAAAGAAAAGTTTAATCCGAAGAAGAAATCATGTTTCTCGCCGTAGTTCGTCAGATAGTAAGAATATTGTTGTAACCAGGTCCCCCTGGAATCTGTACACTATTCAACTCAGTGCGACGCATATTACAAACTCTGTAATACTTGCATTTATCCCAGACAAAAACTTTTATTTATGCGAGAGATTTTCCGTGCAACTACCCAGTATATAGAAGACTACTGATCTCTAGGTACAGTATTGGTCTTGTTAACCGTTGTCCTGCGTTCGATTTCCAGTCGAGACATGCTCTTTCCGGATATTAGTTTATCGAAAGTTTAGCCGCTATAAAACCATGTTTCTTAACTTCCATTGTCACTTGTACACGCTTTAAAAAGATAATGTGTCGTACTCCTATATCGGACTAATATTTTTTCATTCGTCTTATTTCAAAACAGCTAACTTATCTCTCTTATTTCTAAGATCGAAGAAAAAGGTCTTATAAGGGACAGAAAACAGAATCTTGGAACAGAAGTGTGTCCCAACATTTTTTAATATACTTTCAGCTGGAGAGTCCGGGTTTGTTTATTTTAAACTAGAAAAATCCTTCCGAATTTTCTAAAAATTCTCAATTTGAAAAAAAAAGTAAGACCTAATTCAAAAATGGGCGCCGGTCAGTCCATGTAGTTTCTTTTGCTCTTTAAAACAAAAACAGAGTAAACTCTCTACGACAAACTGCTATTAAAAATCTTGGTACACACTTCAGATATAACTCTTATATAAAGAAAACACTGTATTAAACGCTGTATGAAATACTCAATTTTAGGATTTCTAGGAAAATGCCTGTAACTTTTTGGTGCAAGATCATACAGAGGTGTGCGAGGTCTTATTTTGATCTGAAACGTTTGCTCTACAAATCTGTGTGTTCAGAAAAATTTTAATTGCATAAGTATCCAGAAAACAGCTATTATTTGAAGACCCAATTTTCCGAGGCTCCTAAAAAATTTTCTCTAAATCCCCGAAAACGCTATTCTGTAACCAAACGCGATAAAGATTCTAAAAGTAGACATTTAAGGCTACCTTTCCATGTTCTTATCTCAAAACCGATTTTTTGACAGAAAATCCCAATTTTTGAGGAGGGGGACCCTTAAAGAATACATTTGTTTTAGAGTGTACAAAAAACGAATATATAATTAATTAAATTTCACTATAAATTGTTAATTTTTTAGTGTTCATTCAGAGAAGTTAAAAAGGATATTCACAATCTATCTATCTATTTCACTAACTAAGTGACTAACTAAGTGAAACTAGTTAGAAAAATTGCAAAATTCCTTTTTCTTGTATTAAAATATTTTCTGTTTTAAAAAGAAGTTTTAGTTCATTTTGGTTTACATAATTGTTAATTACCACAAAAATCGTGACTGTACACATGGAAACCTAATCGACTAGAAAAAATATATTTAATAATCGTCAATAGAAATTATAATTATAAAAGTTTTCTTATAAGAACAAAATGTGTGTAAATAAATCATTTTTCTTTTTCTTTTTTTGCTATGTATTTTAATACAACAGTTATATAAATAATAAAACAAAATTCTCAGATAACTAGTTAGTATTATTAAAAAAAAGAAAAACGTCAAAAAAAAAAAGAATAATAATATGAACCACGTTTTCTATTTGTGCTATTTCATTTGCGCAACAAGTGATCTGTTTAATACATAATAAAGTTTGGAAAATCGTCAAAATGATTCGCATATGTCAAATCTTTATGTCTGGAATTAATTTACATCTTTACTTGTTAACAAGACGATTACGTTTTTTACCCTTATCAAAGTAAAAAGAAAATATACAAACATATAATAATAATAATAATAATAGTACGAGTCTTCATCATACACATCATGAGAAAAAAGACGAAGGAAAATGCCTTGGAACAACCAGATATATATTTTTTTTTCTATTGTTAAATAGTAAACATAAGTTTTGGCGATAGACAATTTTTCCAGGTTATTTTTAACGATTAAAAATTACTTTTATATAGAGTCGAGAAAAATAGAAAAAAAGATTGTAGTTTTTTTCAATATTGATATTTGTGTGAAAAAAGCATATTTAGTGTATATTTTTAACTCAAAAATAATTAATTATAAAATATGACGATAACCATTATGTTTTGTGGTTATTTTTTGTGAAAAATCATAGGTTTTCTCGTCTCGAAAAAAACCAACATTCACGAAAGATTTTGTAAGTTTTTTTTTAATCATAGAATCACATGCTCTAGTCTTGACTATCGAATGGGA